TCAGAAGATGATCAGAATTATTTTGCCAGACCAGAGAACAATTATTATTTATGGTGACCGTCAGAATCATCGCATTAGTATTCTGTCAGTAATGAAAGCCCAGAAGAGTTTCGAGTCCGCTTATCTCCAACTCGTGAACTTAGCGAATACGGCTTGGAGGGAGATCTTTCATATCTTTCGAGATCCACCCTACAAGCCTGTTACATGAAATGCACCTGACCAATTAGAAACAAAAATAAATAGGAACATAGTTAGATGATGGAATGACCCAAAGCAATTTGATTAATTAGTCGATTTATTAGTGAACAGGGAAAAATATTATCTAGACGAGTGAATAGATTGACTTTGAAACAACAACGATTAATTAAGAATTGATCCCAATAGTTTGTGAATATCTTGAAGTTTTTCCGAAAGATTTATCTAGATTACCACCAGATAGAGTTGTTGAATTCCGAATCGATCTTATACCAGGAGCTGCACCCGTAGAAAAAGCGCCGTATCGTTTAGCTCCGTCCGAACTAAAGTAATTGGCAACACAGTTGAAAGATTTAACCGATAAAGGATTTATAAGGCCTAGCACTTCGCCTTGGGGTGCTCCGGTCTTGTTTGTCAAAAAGAAGAATGAATCTATGCGAATGTGCATAGATTACCGTGAATTGAATAAGTTGACAATCAAAAACAAATATCCTTTACCGAGGATTGATGACTTGTTTGATCAACTAGTGGGAGCAAGTTATTTTTCTAAAATTGATTTGAGGTCAGGATATCATTAACTTAAAGTCAGAGAAAAAGATATTGAAATAACAGCATTTAGGACAAGGTACGGACATCATGAATTCCTAGTTATGCCTTTTGGTTTAACTAATGCGCCCGCAGCTTTTATGGACTTGATGAATAGGGTATGTAAGGAATACCTTGCTAAATTCGTTATTGTATTTATTGATGATATTCTTATATACTCTAAGACTGAAGAAGAGCATGCAAGACACCTTCGTCTGATACTGGAATTGTTGAAAAGAGAAAAGTTGTATGCAAAATTGTCCAAGTGTGAGTTTTGGTTAAGAGAAGTTCAATTTCTGGGTCACGTCATTTCAGAATCAGGAGTTAAAGTTGATCCCATGAAAATAGAAGCAGTTGTAAAATGGGAAGCTCCTAAGACTCCGTCTGAAGTTTGTAGTTTTCTGGGATTGGTCGGTTATTACCGAAAGTTCATTCAGAATTTTTCTAAGATAGTTGTGCCATTGACTAAACTGACTCGGAAGAATGTTAAATTCCAGTGGGAAAGAGAACAGCAAGAAGC